GTATAGTTCTTGATCATCCTTACTTACGCTTTAACATACCCTACAGTTCCTAGTCTTCATTTAAAGATATGCTGAATTTTTTCTTTTTAGAATTGAGTATTTTTTTATTGAAGTGTAGCTGGTTTACAATCTTAGTTTCAGGTGCACAGCAAAGAAAATGATTCAGTTATACATATACGTACATATATAAAGATATGTTGAATTCTTAAACAGTATTATTTCTATTCAGTATGTTTATGCCTATTTTTAATGTTGGAATGGATTGTCACGGAGATATATTTACTTCCTGTGCCTGGTTTTCCACTCACTAGCCATGAATGCTTAGGAATATTTAGTAATAATCTTTTCCCTTTATAGGAGACTTTATAGTTCCAAAGTACTTTTGAATCCGTATCTCATTTAATACCCAAAAAACCTTATGAGGCTCGGTAGAACCAGTATTTTTAAGATAAGGCTTAAAGTTGTTGAGCAGTTGGTTTACTGCTAATAGAAAAATTCCTGAAAATCGGCAGCAGACGAAGAGATTTTGATGAATTTATTTGTTTAAAAGACCAACATACCTAAATAAAACTAAAATTATTTAATGAATTATTTAATGCAGTCATAAAATGATATATAAATTAACCCAAATAAATTAAATTTTGTCCTTTCTTTCAACAATCTGAGTCACCTATAATAACCTTTCTGAGCTTAGCTTCCTGTCTTTCAAAAATATTAATGAATTAGCACCTTCGCAGATAGGTGCCGAAAAGCGTAGAATATGTGGTCCAGTTCTGTGTGCTGCTCTTTCACCAGTTTTTACTTTGAGACGAGCCCTGTGTGGTGACACAACTGCTAAACAGCGGGCAAAATACTCTGAGTGGTTTTTCTGTGGGAGAGATGGTGAGTTAGTGCTGATCCTGCTCTTAAGATCTGAGAACTGAATATTGCAGCCTGAGAATGATAGATTTTAGACGAGCACCTATTATTTCATAGCATAAGCAAGTGAAAGAAAAGCAGACTTTTCATCAGAGAGTATTTTAAATATCCGTTGATACTAGAAAACAGAGTGACAGACTGACTTTCTTGATTTTAAAGTTTGTGTGTGTGTATTGTTTTCTTTATTTACTCTACCAAAAAAGGAAGATCCAAGACTGAAAATTCCAGCTCACCTGAGAGGAAAGACGTCACTTGATTCTTCCAGTGACCTGGGGCCTTTACCTGTAAGTTTATCGAGCTGCTGCTGGTCTAACTCAGCAATCTCAAACATTTTGGTTTTTGGAATTCAGTAGTTCCTTAACAACTATACTTAATATTTTCATAAAGGTGTTGATATCTTCTAGTAAGAATGGCATATGCAAATTAAATCAACCATAGAACCAAGGCCGTTTTTCTGCCCATACAGAAAACATAATTGAAATTTATTCTTCATTATAGCCAGGATGGGAAGAAAGAACTCACACTGATGGAAGAATCTTCTACATAAATCATAGTATGTGCCATGTGATTTTTCATTATATTGTTTTTTGAAATATCAAATTTTGTGCATGCGAATGAAGAACACCTTTTTTTTCTCCCTCTCTTCAGATATAAAAAGAACCCAATGGGAAGATCCTCGGTTGCAGAATGTAGCAATAACTGGACCAGTAAGTCTCTTTGTATCAGGATGCTCTGATGGGGTTGTCCTCTCACCTGTCTCTTCAGGGCTGAATGGTCAAGGTCATAACCCTAAAGGCGTGGAGAGGAAAGCACATTTGCAAATCTCTCTTTTCCCCACTGCCCGTACACTGGGTCTCAGCTGTTTGAAAAGAGCATGTGAAAGTTATCCTTGACTCTGTGCAGCAGCCTTGGTAGACCAGTGAGCCAGACAGTCAAAATGCTACGGCAGTGGACTGCTGTGCTCAGACTGGTACTTGCCACTGAAAGAGAATGTTGGCAATCCTCAGCAGATCAGAGGTGCCAAGAGTATATCTGGTGAGGAAGCAGACAGCGTCCTGTCAACTCAGGGTCTTGTCTTGAACTTTTGGGTTGAAATCGCTGTAAATATATAAGGCACGCTCATATTTAAGTACAATTATTACCATGTATGATGTTTATACTACTCTTGAGTCAGGTTAATGATAGGAAAATCATTAACCTCTTTTATATAGCTACTTTTTCCTGCTTCCGTTTTTCAGATTTTATACTGTTTTCTAATTCACAAAAATAAGTAAAATTGAAAACACAATTCTTCTAAATTACTCTTGTCTCCATGTTTAGTCTTTTTAAAATGATGGATAAAAAAGGCATCGCCTCAGAGTTCAAGGAAAAAGTACATTTTTCAAATTGTTCCTTTAATGGAGAAATCACTTTGAAAGTCTCTTTAGAAATGGAAATTTTCACTTCTAATATTTCTCTGCTTGGAAGACATTTCCTGTTTCTGGCCTGTTGCATTTCAAGAATATTGCATGATGAAAATTACAGCCATAGGAATCGCTGAATACAATTTTATCTTAAATGGAGAAATTAAAATTTTTTAAGTCTTATATTTGTTTTTCTTTGAATTAAACTTTCCTTCCAAATATTCTCTTTTAATGCCTTTAACTTCTGTTCATAAAATACCCAGAGGAGAACTTTTTGTATTGTTCCAGAGTAAAGCAACCTAAACCTTCTTTATTTTTCCAAAATTTTCAACTCAAGGCAGTGCCTTACTCCAGGGATTACAAAAGAAAGTATGAGTTCTTCCGAAGAAAGTTGAAGAAGCAGGTTAGTGATACTTACAATGAGTTCTTAAAAATGACTGTCATATAGACTGAAAGCAATGGGAAATGCATTCTTAAAAGTAATGGGAGTTTGTTCTGTATATTAACAACTTCCAATAGTTTCTAAAGGGAAAGGATGCTTATTTTTTGAGTAGCTGTGATAAATCATTGAAGACCACAATTATTTTATGTGTTTATTTTTCTATATACCTTGTAATATAGAAAAACAGTGTTAAAGGTTTGCTTTTTAAAGCGCTCTAACCTGGTTTCCTCATGGGTTTGTGGGGTATGGACTTTGTAGAAACTGAGCAAGAGTGGCTCAGATTATCCCCTGGTCTAGACTCTGATGGTGGAAGCGGGCTCTCTGGATTCCTTTTCCTGCTTTGACTGGCATCCTCCAGGGATGGTCATTCACCCTTCACACCTTCTTCACACTATATTTAGTGTATCTGCATAGTTTGAAAGTACGGCTGTGATTGGAGCAGTCCTCTTGTGGCTTGTCTCCTGCTTATCAGATATGTTCACTACACTTTTTTCCATCACTGCACATTCAGTATGTCTGGAACTAAACTCATCATCTGTCCACCTGTTTCATTTCTGCTGGTGTCGACCTTTTTTTTGGAGTAATTTTTTTATCAGTGAAAGAGTCTTTAAATTCTGTAGTGCTTTACAGTTTTCAAAGTTTCACACACATGATTTCATATAGTTCCATAATAACCCTTTCCTCCCCTTATTGCCCCCCCCCAAGTGGCCACCAAGTTTGTTGTCTAGATCTCTGCGGGGATGACCATTTTTTAAGCCTTTCTAACTTGCTCTTACTTTTCCCCTTGCCCTGCAGTTTACAAGTACCGCCACTAGGTGGCTACATTGGGTTACACTTTCTTGCCTTCCAAGCCGGAAGCCTGCTTTTCCAAAGATTCAAGATGGTGGGTCTGTGACTGCAGATTTTTCCATCCAAAAAAACTTTTTAAAGAGTAAATATAGATTTTTTTAGTGCAAATATTTTATAATAAATCTTAATAAAATCTTAAAATATCATCAGTGCTTTAAACTCATCTGCAATAATAACACTGTGATTAAAATCGCTCTGGAAATTTGTGTCCTACTTCTTAAAATTCCTTGGGATTTTAAGTCTTTGTTGATTTATTTGGTAAATATTTTCACTCTTAACGACAACATAATGGTGGAATAGAAGCACTAGCTTCTCTGTTTGCCAGTCTGAACACTTAGAAATGTGATACAGAGGTTGACGTTCCCCCCAGCAGCAGGTCACAGAACACAGAAACCATAATGAAAGCAGTAATATTTACTGAGCTCTCACTGCCTACCGAGCATTTTCCTCAACAAGTTACATGTATTACCCATGCAGTCTCTACTGTAAGTCTACAAGGAAGGGACTGTTACTGTCACATTTTACAGGTGAGGAAACTGAGGCTCAGAGAAATTGGGCAAAGTGGTCAAGTTCCATGGTTATCAGTGGCAAAGCCAGATACAGATCAAGTGATCTGGCCCCAGAGTCCATGCTCTTCTCCCCCATGACATATCATACTGGTGATAAAGATAAGAAATTACTGAGAATTCAACAAAAACATACAAAAAGATTTTTTAAATTATGAAAGAAAGCTTAAGAGGCTTGAAGTGGTTCCAGAAGGAGAGACTCAAGAGCATGGGGAAGAGATTCTGACTCCTCAATTTAACAAACAGTCTCAAGCAGGATTTAAAAACTAAACTCCCTTTCTGGACACATCACAGCAAAAGGCAGAACACCACGATGGAGATAAAAACGTCTAACCCAGTGCTCCAAAGCCTCGAGCTGTCTTCAGCCTTTTCCTCTGCCTCATCCTGAACGTCTCGTTAGTCAGGAGTAAGGGCGGCTAAGCATTGTTGAGCCCGCCGTGTGCCAGATGCTGTGTAAGCACGGGACACATGTTTTCCCAGGAAGACCTACACAGCTCCCTGAGGGTGATTATCCTATTTTATAGATAAGGAAATTGAGCTTAGACAGGATGTGCCGACTGAAGCTGGGATTTGTACGTGGGTCACCTGACCCCAGAACCCACGCGTGGCGCCCCTCCCAGCTCACACGTGGGAGTTTCTCCTCAGCCCCTCTGCCTGTGCCATCGCTCACTCACCCGGCCCACTCCTCTTCTCCCGTGCCGTCTGGTTCAGGAGGCTTCCACTCCCTCTTGTCTCTTCTTAAAAACACCTTTTAAATCTGAAAAGAAAATATATGTGTATGTATATTTATAACTGAATCACTTTGCTCTACACCTGAAACTAGCATTGTAAATCAGCTACATTTCAATTTAAAAAATTGGGGAAAAAAAAAACAAACAAACCCCACGCTGTACACCGCACACCGCCAACCTCTGAGAATACACCAGCCTGTTCCCGCGGGCCCTGCTCATCGGTCTTCCTGGTCGACCTGCACGCCGTCTGCGCAGTGCGCCCAGTCTTCTGTCGCTTCCTGCGCCGTCGTCCTGCCCCTCCCCACCCCTTCTTACCCTCTGGCTGTCCTGTGCGGTAGACCCCTCCCGCGTGCTGTTCCCCACTCCCTCTCTCCCTTCCCCTCCGCTCAAGACTTCTTGAAGCTGCTGGATGGTCACACTTGCAACTAGTAGCTCACTTTTGGTGCCCACAAAACATTGCTCATATTTCTATTTTTAGCAGTTTTCCTCCTCTTTTAAGTCTCAGAATTAGTACCATTTTCCATTTGTTTCTCACACGCACACCAAATCATAAACTCCTTAAGGAAGTGACCACGTCTTAGGCCATGGTTTCATTCCCTTTCCTCCCATCTCTGGCCCCACTGCAGTGCCTCCCAGCGTGGGCCTGGCCCGGAGCCGGCCTGCAGGAAGTGCTTGGTGAGGAACTCACCTGCACTGGTTGCCTGGCGTCTAAAATTGTAAAGTGGCTCTTCTCCAGTCTTACCACTTTTTTAATTACATAAGCAGCAGAGAAGAATGCTTATATTATCCTTATTTGCTTATATAAAGTACTTGTACTGTTATGTTTCTATAGGGCTATTTTTCCTAAATATATGGAGAGTGAAATTGATTTTTTTTTCCCTTGGAGCTAGCCCTCTTTTCTTTTTCTGAAGTGACAGAATATTGACAGCATGGTTTCTTTTCATGGTTTCCACTTGAACATTGCTCTCAGAGCACTCAAGAGTAAAATACTCAGGTGGATCGCCATATAATTTACAGTGAGATCTACCTAAAAGCATGGTTCTCTACGTTTGTCATGTAAGCAGAGTCTGTACAAAAGGTTAGCGAGGCCGTGTAGCTCATTCATTAAGAGAGACTCAGGCACTAGGACTTTCTTTACTTCTCTATTTAGTTTCTCATCCATAAAACGGAGATAATAATAATAGCTTCTTCAGAGCATTATTATGAGGAGTAAATGAGTTAACCTATTAAAATGCTGGGAGCGGTGCTGGCACAGTCTGTACATGTTAGCGTCTGTTAAAGAGTGAGGAACACAGGCTCCAAGGAGGAAACGTGGCGAGAAGGAAGCGCCCTGGGCCGGCAGGCAGCAGCTAGGCTGACTGCAGGGCACAGCATGGTCCTCGCTGGGTCTTACGATGGAAAGGACTGTTCCTGAAATGCCTTCCCGAAAGTGTTATTACCACCTTCAGTAACTGCTGCTTAGATGGCACAACCAGACATCTCTATTATAAAATACTGAGAGAAAATGCATGAGTTCTTTCATGCAATAGAGGAAATAGGGACAATAGACCTAATCCTGTTTTCCCTGAGAAAGCGTCTTGGAAACACGGTAGCATGCAATGAGTGTTGTAACTCTCGTGACAGGGAAACATGTCATCATGTTGAATTGATGTAAACCGTCAGCCTCTCTTCTCTGGGTTTTCAGAATGACATTCCAAACAAATTTGAGATGAAACTTCGCCGCGCAACTGTCCTTGAAGACTCTTACAGGAGAATCATGGGGGTCAAGAGGGCAGACTTCCTCAAGGCTAGGTTGTGGATCGAGTTCGATGGTGAAAAGGGGCTGGATTATGGAGGAGTCGCCAGAGAATGGTTCTTTCTGATTTCAAAGGAAATGTTTAACCCTTACTATGGGTTGTTTGAATATTCTGCTACGTAAGTACCTTTACAACGACTATATTTTAGAAGAAAGATCGTGCTTCTGAAAGTAACCGAGTTTTAGGAGGCAAGGAAAACGTGTGACACACTGTGCAGGAGAGGGAGACTGTAACTAATGTTTCGGAAATAACTTCTTTAAATTGTGATAAAACATACATAAATTTTTACATTATAATCATTTCAAGTGTATCGTTCAGCAGCATTAAGGACATTGACATTGGTGTGCAGCCATCACCATCATCCCTGCCGGAGCTTTTTCGTCTTCCCGAACTGAAACTCTGTACTCATTAAACACTGTCTCCCCCAGTCCCTGGCAACCACCATCCTACTTTCTGTCTCTGAATTTGACTTCTCTAGTACTTCATATAGGTAGGGTCATATAGTATTTGTCCTTTTGTAACTGACTTATTTCATTAGCATAATGTCCTCAAGGTTTATCCATGTCGTAGCATGTGTCAGAATTTCCTTTTGAAGGCTGAATAGTACCCCATTATGTGTATGTACCACGTTTTGTTTATCCATTCATCTTTCAATAACATTTAAGTTGTTTCCACCTTTTGACATAAATGACTTTTCAAAACCATGAAATCCAGTGGTCTAATATGGTTCTGGGAGAGGTGAACAGCTCTAACAAGAGGGAGATGATATGTAATCACTTGTCATGTTAAAATTTTTGTATGTGCTACAGAAAGGAGCATTTAAATGTGGTTATCTTTACAGGGACAATTACACCCTGCAGATAAATCCCAACTCTGGGTTGTGTAATGAAGACCACCTCTCTTACTTCAAGTTTATTGGCCGGGTAGCTGGGATGGCAGTGTATCACGGCAAACTGTTGGATGGTTAGTATTAAGCATAAAACTCTTTTTAAAATATGTAGTTATCTGATTTCTTTCACTTGGTAATCACTTTAAATGTGTTTGATTTTTTTTTGCAAGGTTTTTTCATCCGCCCATTTTACAAGATGATGCTGCACAAGCCGATAACACTTCATGACATGGAATCAGTGGTACGTCTTTTTCACTTGAAACACAGAGAATTTGTAATTTGACAGCCCACTGAACATTTTAAAGAGTTACCTTTTAATGATGAAGAAATCAATGTGTTATAGTGTTCCCAAATACAAGTGAACATGTTTCCTAACATTTTATTATGAAAATTTTCTAACATGTAATGCAATTGAAAAAAATTTACAGTGGACACGTGTGTCTCCACCACCCAGATTCCACAATTGGCTTTTTATCTAGACTTACTTCATGACATACTTGTCCCCGAGTCTACCCCCATCCATCAATCATCTTATTTTTCTGATGCATTTCAAAGAAAGTTGCATTTATACTCATATCCTCACTAGTCATTCACACCTTTTTATAATACTTGTGTGTGTGTGTGAAAAAGATGTCCAAGTGACCTTTTCATCTTTTGCCCAATTATTCAGACCCTCAGCATATTTTGTTGGCAGATTCAGGCATCTTCTTTCTGTATACAAATTTTAAATATGCAATTTTCCACATCTAGGATAGTGAGTATTACAATTCACTAAGATGGATTCTTGAAAATGATCCAACAGAACTGGACCTCAGGTTTGTCATAGATGAAGAACTCTTTGGACAGGTTTGTGTATTTTGATTAATTATGGGGGAGGGTAGAGCTCAGGGGTAGAGCTCATGCTTAGCATGCATGAGGTCCTGCGTTCAATCCCTAGTGTCTCTATTAACAAAATATTTTTTTGATTAATTAAAATGGTACAAGGTAGGAGGATATAGCTCAAGTGGTAGAGTATTCGCTTAGCACGCATGAGGTCCTGGGTTCAATCCCCAGTACCTCCTCTAAAAATAAATAAGTAAACCTAATTACCTTTCCCTCCCCCCACAAAATCAATCAATCAATCAATAAATGGTACATAAATTGTGAAACTTTACAACCTAAATTTAATAACTTAAGGGAAATGTTATAATGTAAGTTTAGATGGTAAATAATGGATATACTCAGCCCGTTTCTATGCTCTATTTTTAAATTTATTTCCGGTAACAAAAGCTGTCTCTCAGCAAGAATTTCTGCTTTCTTTGACATTTGAGTCTTTCTGTATTTATTTTCGTAAAACTAATATTTTAAGTTTTCTTAGCTTTTGAATGGATTTAATTTAAAACACCACGTTTCTAGTATAACTATAATATGTATACTTGATTTTACTTTTTTCACTAAAATAACATATCCAGGTATCATGCTTAATTTTAGACACATCAACATGAGTTGAAAAATGGTGGATCAGAAATAGTTGTCACCAATAAGAACAAAAAGGAATATATTTAGTAAGTATTTTACCGTATTTACTAAATATTACAAATAATTTTGTGTTTCTTTCATGTTCTTCCTCTTCCCCCAGAGTCAGCCTCAATGTTCTTTTTCTCTTTCTATAACAATGCCATATTACTTAACCACATTCAGTTTTTCCTTGGGCTAAGCTAGTCTTTATTTGTTGTTTCTAACCAGAAAACACGCACCTTAACATTTTTCCTTGGCGCCTGTGAAAAAGATGAACTGTTTTGTTTCTTTTAGTCTTGTTATACAATGGCGATTTGTAAACCGAATCCAGAAGCAAATGGCTGCTTTTAAAGAGGTACTCATTTTCTGTTGTTTGCTTTTGAATTTTGAAGTGTACAGTCCGTAAGTTTTAAATATTGGGCCTTATATCAGAGAAAAAGTAGTATATGACTCACTTTTTAAAACTGTTCTTAATTATATTTTATATTAACAGAACATTAAATGAATAGATTTTCAGTTAAAACATAACCATCCAAGAAGTCCCTGCAGTAAACATCAGCGGTCCCCCTTAATGTCTGTCATGTCCGCTCACCTTCCTCCAGCCCCGCTCCCCTCACCTCAAGTAACCTTGGATGAGCAAAGGAGCAAGACTGCCAGAGGGATGGCGGAATATACCATTTGTTTCCTTTCCTAAATGGGATCACACTGTACAT